ATTTTAAAGCCTAAAATGCATTTTTAAGCCTAAAATTAAGTTTTAAGCCTAAAATCCATTATTAAGTCTAAAATAGCATTTTTAAGACAAATGTTGCATTTTTATGCCGAAAATTGCATTTTAAGCCTAAAATTCATTTTCGAGCCTAAAATGCATTTTTATGCCTAAAATTTATTATTGAGCCCAGGGCCGGACGCGAGGGGAAGGGGACAAAAAAAATTTTCGAAAAAAGTTGAACGTGGTCCCCCCTGTGGATTTTTGGAAAAAAAAATTTCGCAAAAATCGGCACTACCTGTGCCGATTTTTTGGATTCCTGCCCACAGACCAAAAGTCCCCGCCCGGCCGCCCTGATTGAGCCTAAAATTCATTTTTAAGCCTAAATTTTATTTTTAAGCTTAAAATTAAGTTTTAAGTCTAAAATCCATTATTAAGTCTAAAATAGCATTTTTAAGCCGAAAATTAATTTTTAAGCCTAAAATTTATAGTTAAGCCTAAATTTATAGTTAAGGCTAAATTGAGACCTATAGTTAGTTCCCCGCCATATATTTTTAAAATTGACTGATTTAAGAGCATTTATTTTTTATTTTTTGAAAAAACCCTGACCAAACGAAAAATGAACTCTTCCAAACTTTGCAAAATTCGTTCTGAGATCCCCCAGCTCTTAAAAACCGAGGTTTTCTATTAAACTTAAGACTCCAAAAACGGTCACGCAATCACAGAAAGTCCAAGAAAAAAAACGCGAAATTTCTCCCTGCGGCAAAATAATGAAGTAAACAAATGGGTTAATTTATATGCCTGTTTTAAACTGACATTGTCACGGCATTTGGGCATTAGGAACGGTAAAATTAGTATAGTATTGGGTTAGTCAGCTTTAATGCGGTTTTAGGCTAACCTAGCGCAGAGCCTTAACTTAAAGCCTTAGCCCAAAGCCCTAGCCCAGAGTCCAAACCCAGAGCCCTAGCCCATAGCCCTAGTCCAGAGCCCTAGCTGAGAGCTTTAACTCAAAACACTAGCTTAGAGCCCTAGCCCAGAGCCCTAGTCCAAAGACCTAAACTTAACCCTAGCTCTACTTCTGTTCTACCACAGTCTCTACGCTAACTTCTACCTTACAATTGCCATGCCTAAATCTCATAACTTTGCCATTGTCCACAAACGTTTTCTTTTTCAAAAACCAAACAGAAACTTGGAAATTCTTGTAGACAGAACGACATTCTTTTCGGTTGCTAAAGAACACAAAAGAAGTAAAGTAAAAGTCACATAAACGGGTGAAAAATAGCTCCAAATTATAGTGTTTCAAAGTCGTATGTCACACGATCTCCAAGCAATTAGAAAATGATGACTTCAAAAGATATGTTTTTCGTATCTAGATTACACTTGTTTTATGTGTTTTTGCGGAAAACATTAGAAATAGTTTGTACTGTATTAATAATAAGTACATACTATGATTTACAGGTTATTTTCTTGTTATCGAAAATTTTTAAGTACCGCGGAACTATTCTATACCAAACCGCTTAGAAATTCAAAATTTTTTCGTTATAACTTATACGCAAGATTCGTTAACCGGAGTTTAACTGGTATTCAAACCTAAACAAATCCTAAAATTAATTTTTAAGCCTACAATTTAAGTTCAAGCCTAAAAATAATTTTTAAGCCTAAAACTCATTCTTAAGTCAACAATTTTTAGCTCTAAAGTCAATTTATAAACCTAAAACTTTATGTTAAAACTGAAAGATTTTACTTTTAAGCCTGAAATTTATTTTTTAACCTAAAATTCCATTTTAAGCCTAAACTTTCATGTTTAAGCCTAAATTTCATTTTTAAGCCTAAATTTAATTTTTGAGCCTAAATTTAATTTTTAGGCCTAAAATTTCATTTTTAAGCTTAAATTTCATTTTTAAACCTAAATTTCATTTTTAAGCCTGAATTGTATTTTTAAGCCTAACGTTTCGTTTTAAAGCCCAAAATTTCATTTCTATGCCTAAAAACGTTGTAAAGCTTACATGTATAGTTTTAATCCAAAAATATTATAAAATAATTTTAAGTCTAATATTCACATGCTAAACTTAAAAATACAGTAGAACTCCTGTATAACAAACACCTCTACAAAGAAATCTTCGTCTACCACTACACAGAGCCTTTAAAATACCTGTATACCAAAACTTCTTTCTAAAGATCAAATTTAAAACACCCGAGTGATTTGTTATACTGGACTTTTGCTGTACCAGTTCATGTAAAACGAGATTATCTTTATACTGAAGTTCCACTACAACTTTTCAAGCCCAAACTACATTTCCCAACAAATAACCAAATAAAAGTTCACACCCCGTAGCCATCGAATCAAAGAACAATGTAAAAAGTCAGAAAGAATGCCCGCTTTTATATTATCCTACTTTTTGCGTTCACAAAAGACCGAGTAGAACAAAAAAGTCTTGGCATATCCTTCGGGATTACATAAAAATTTTTACTTTTTTAGTTTTTTCCAAAAACAGCTTGGCGAAATGTTTTGTGAGCATATTACACCAGATGGGTAATGTGTTTTGGAACGTGTCATCAAAATGAAATTTTCATTTTTTTGGAAAACGTGTTCGAATTGTCATCCAAATCAAAGGTTTTTTTAGGTTAGGCAAGTCCAAGTTTTGTAAATTACGTTTTTTATAGTAGTTTCTGACGAGCCCAGTAAAGCAAAAAATATCTTGTTCAAGCATAGATTTTTTAAGCTTAAAATCTTATTTTTAAGCCTAAAGTTTAAGTTTACAGCCTAAAATTGATTTTTAAGCCTAAAATTCATTTTTAAACCATTCATTTTAAGCCTACAATTTCTTTTATATACCTAAAATTCATTTTTATGCTTAAAATTTATTTTTATGCCTAAAATTAACTTTTAAGTCTAAAATTCCGTTTTAAGCCTAAAATTCAATTTCTAAACCTAAAATTTAGCTTCAAGCTTATAATTTATTTTTAAGCCTAAATTACAACACAATTCTGTAAATTCACAAAATTTAAAAATCAAAAAATATCCAAACACAAGTCGCCCCAAACCGGATGTCAAAACCAGCCCATAAGTGTCTGATTTCTGTTAACGTTGTTTTGAAGAGGAGTCAAATCAAATTATTCCAATGAAACCATGAGGCAAATTTGCGAAGGCTCATTATAATAATTCGCTTTCGTGACTCGCGTTCTAACTCTCCAAGGACCACGAATTGTGAAGTCGAGATTGTCGCGATCTTTGCCGCAAAATGGTTTTACATGCTCAAGATGGGGGTAGATTATGGCTTTTAATAGTGAGTTGTTCAACATATTCTTTCTTAAAGACTGTCTTAGATCAAGCCTTCATATAATAAACAACGCAATCAATACAGTAGAGCCTTTGTATAACAAAACGTTTTTACAATTCACTTACAGCAAAACTTCTCTATAACAAATTGTTCAAAAATTTTATTCTTTTTTGGTAAGAAAGAGTAAAATAGGGTAGGGTAAGGTCAATGGTAAATTTGTTCGTTATAGATGAGTTTTGTTATATTATACAAGAGTACACGGTATCAATAACATTAAAAAATTGTAAAGTAATGCCTTAAAAAATTAACACAACAACTTTACATAAACAGTCTGCTAACTCAAAATGAATTAACTTTTACAATTGTCATTTTTTCAACAATTTATATACACGTTTCATCGTATAAATTGACTTCACAGCTTGCACAACGCCAAGAAAACAAGAGCTCTCTTGTTTTTTTGCGCAAAGTTGGATTTCGCTTTGAAAAGAATGTTTCGAACAATGTTACCCTTGTTTTTCGTTGAAATTTGGCTTTAAAATTGAAAAATCTATTTTAAAATTTAATTAGTAATTCAACTCTTACGTTTTGAGACTAAATTTTGGAGTTTTTGCAGGTGTTTTGATATGATTTTAGAGAATTAAACCGATTTGTGGGCTAAAATAATATCTTTGTTGTTCTGTTGCGCGAAATGAACGATTTTAAATTACTGATAGAGCGCATTATGTTTTTTATCTTATTACTTTATTATTACTTTATGTTTTAATGTTTTAGAGCAATAAAAATGGTTCAAAGCGGGCTTCATGAAGTTATGGCATCTTCACCAAGCCGAATTCATTGGAATCTCTTCGAACCGCAAAAACAGATATACTGGGTCTAGTAAGATGTAATACGAGATGAACAAGAAGTTGATTTACATGTAAGTTTTTTTTCTATTGATTTTCTTATTTTTAGGCGAATATTGAGAATTTTTGCCTCTGGTTTTTCTTCAAAGTCATGGATAATATACTTTTTGGGCACATGATCAATTTAATTTATAAAATATGCAAGTACTTATTATGGAGACATGATAATGACTATTTATTAGTCTTGCAGATCTTATAACTATAAAATGTAAATTTAATATGTGTTTAATGTGGTTTTTACACTTATCTTTAATGGGCATAATAATAACATACATATAATATTACAGGGATGTTGAAAATCATCATTATTGCTTTTGCATCAGGAACCGTTTAATAAGGTAAGTGAATGTTTTAGATACTGTAATATTTTGTTAGGCATTTTGAGCGTTGGTATATTATCAAACTTTTTGGGTTGAAAATTAAATTTATGGTAGAACTAGAACTGAAAGGAGGCCCACTAGGGGTAGAAACTAATTTGAAAGGGCTTGGCTGGCACATGAGGGCTTAAGGGCGAAGCTCAAACTAAGGCATAGTTTAGGTATCGCAAGGAAAGGTTTGACTTGCTAAAAATGTAAAATGACTTGCTATGGGGCTTTAAATTTGTTCGTTGTAAGGGAGTTTTGTTATGGAGCGGTTCTTTATGCAAAAGTTCTACTGTATATGTTAATATTCAGGGCCGGGCGCGAGGGGAGGGGGACGGGGGGGTACCCCAGAAAAAAAATTTTTTGAAAAAAAAGTTGAACGTGGTCCTTCCTGTGGATTTTCAAAAAAAAAAATTTGCAAAAAATCGGCACAGGTAGCTAAATTAACGTTTATAGAAAAAATGAAGTTGATGTTTTTGGCGTTGATTTTACCTGCAGTCGGTTTTTGTCAATCAACTGAAAATCCAGAAGATCAAACAATTGCCGGTAACCAATTAGACTTTCTGAACGAAGAAGAACAACAAAAAGTCAATGAAATTTTCGAGCAAAATCAAGAAAAACCCAGAAAAGATCTTCGAAAGGCTTTGAAAGTCTATTCGCTTTCTCTACCTCAAGATGTTCAAGACAAAGCTCATGAAGCTAGGAAAGACCTAGACGCCAAAGTTAAAGCTTCTAAAGCTAAGGTCAAGAAGTTGGGAAAATCACTTCAATATTTGTTGAAAAGACTCGACCACTTTATTAAAAACGACAAATTGTCATTGAAGAAGGCGAAGGTGCTGGTCGGTGAAACTTTGAAAAATGCAAAACCAGAGCTGTTGAAGGATTATGAAGAAGCTAACTTGGATGATGTTTATCAGCGTCATGAACAACAAGTTTTCTATTTTACTACGAAATAAAATACTAAAATATTTTTGAAATAATGTTAAAATAACTATGAAATCATACTACTAATATGGTTTTTATAATAAAATAAAGTTTTTAGATAAAATTTTAAATTTAAAAATAAACTTTTTTGAATAAAGTTTTAAAAATTAAAGCTGGACTATTAAAGATAAAAGTATGAGTTTAAAATTGGAATAAAACTAGTATAAAATAATAATATTTGATGTAAAATAACTGTAAAGTATATTAACAAATAAGTCAGTGAAGGGCACAGTTTTAGGTAATGAATGTTTAAAAAAATTGGTTTGCGCTATAGGAAAGATAAATCATGTTAGGGCTAAATTATAGCTAAATTGAAGCCAAGAAGGGTAGGCTTGGACTAGTTAAGGATATAGGATAGGGTATGAATGGAGAAATAATTGAGAAAGTTATGGGTAGTTTAGAGTGTGGGGCTTTGCCAGGCAGGGCACGTTGATTATTTTTTGCTGTTTTGTTACGGTAGGGTAGAACAAGGAAATGCAGGGAAGATTAAAGCAAGAATAGGGTTGAGCAATGGTAGAGGTTAAGATAAGGCATTTTGATTATTTTTTGCTTTTTTACTTTGATAGGATAAAATAATATGGGGGGAGTTAAGGTTTGACAGGCACTTCAGGATAGAGCACTGTAGGGTAGGATTAGGGTAGAGTAGGTAGGGTAGGGTAGTGTAAGGGAGTGTAGGGTAGGATAGAGTTAGGCAGGGTAGAGTAGAGTAAGGTACGGTATGGTAAATTAGGGTGGGGTATGGTATTCTGATTATTTTTTTTGCTCTTTTTACTGTTTTTGGTCCAAAACAGCGAACAGTACTCTTTGTACTCTATGAAAAGCTTCCTCAAATTATCGCCAAAGGTGTCGAGTCGAGTCCGAAAAGACGGGGGCAAAGAGTCAAATTGGTTTTGATTGTGCTAAATTTATTGGATTCGAAAGGAAGTGGTTTTTTTCGCTTCTTTTTTAGTCCAAACTATTTCGGCGGAGATAAACGCCTTTGGCACTTCAAAATTAAAAAGTTTTTGTTTGGGGAACTAAAAAAATACCAAAATAGCAAATTATCTTTTGGAAATGAAATCATTTTTGAATGAGTTTGGCATGGTATTGTGATTTGGTTTGGCAAATTATTGTCGGAAAATAATCGAAATTTTAAAATTTCGAATTTCGAAATTTTTGGAAAAATGAAGAATTTGAAGTTGATCTTATTTGAAGGTTTGATAGGGTAAAGTATTGTAGATTTTTTTAATATTAAATTAGGCTATAGGACAGAGTAAGATAGGACAGATTGAGGCATGGTTCGATAATGTAAGACATGTTGAGGCAAGGTCAGGGTAAAGCAAGGTAAGGTAAGATAGGGTATGGTAGGGCAGGGTATCGTAGGTTAGGGTAGGGTAAGGTAGGGTAGGGTAGGGTGGAGTAGGGTAGGGTAGGATGGTGTAGGGTAGGGTGTGGTAACGTAGGGTAGCGTAGGGTAGGGTGGGATAGGGTAAAGTAGGGTAGGGTTAGGTGCGGTAGGGTATGGTTAGATACGGTACAGTACGGTAACGCAGAGTAGGTAGTTTACATTTTTTTTTATTTTTAAGACTAGCATTTTATTGACATATTTTCTAGACATTATTTGCAAATTCCACCTTATCTAGCCATTTTTTGTTGTAATGAAAAGATAGAATCAGTAGATTTAGGGCCTAAAAAGTACGGTTCATTGCCCTAATTTTCTCTCGTTTAGACAATTTTGATTACACTTTTTTCTGCTTTTGGGTATAACATTAGCTGTGTCATCATATGTGTTATACTAGGCATTGGGAGCGTCATCGTTTATGTTTGTTTAAGGAGTGTCATCATATGTGTTGTACTAAACAATAGTGGTGTCACTTTATCTGTTATACTAAACAAGATGTAGACAAACTGTTGTGGCATGGCTAGTGGTTGGCTTTGGCCTAGGGGTGGGGGTACAAAATGGCACGGGTAGTCAGTTTAAAATTTTTAAAAATCATTGGTTGTTTAATTAATTATATGTTCCCTAACCTAAAAAGTTGCTTTGTAGGGCACAGAATTATTTGAACAACCTAATAATAAAGAAATGGCGATCTTTCAAAATTTTTTGCTTAGTTTTATCGAAACTTTTGGTATAGGACCTAAATGGAAACAGGTGGGTAGCTGAGTTGCAGCAAATATACACCTATAGAAGATCATTTATGTTTTTGTCTTTTCTGATGCGTATAGTGTTAGGCTTGGATGCGTAGTTGACACAATTTAAGGCTGCCTGCGTGACTATTCGAATAAAATTTCACAAAATAAGCATCATATCAAACAAGGAATGTTTTAAATTTAGAAATTTGTTTTGAAGTTTGGACTAGCAATTGTAAGATATGGCTTTGAAAGCTATCCATGGCACTAGCCTTAGCGCTTTTCAGTTTTAGCTCTAACTCAAGCTCTTACTATAGTCTTAGCTTTAGCCCTACTCCTAGCCTTAGCTCTTAGCTCGTGTCTTGAAATTGTCCTTGCTGCCGTATCCCTAGCTCTGGTATAGCCGTTTAGTCCGGCTTTAGCTTTGCTCTAACTTTAAATCAAGTCTGCTAGCTGTAGATACCTATATTGTGGTATGCCTGTTTAAAATAATACTCACAAAGATCATTGTAACCGGTGTCGTCATTCAAAACCGAAGAAATTTCCGCTTCCGATGCCACGAATCTCTGGCATTTTTGTTTATTTATTTGTAATTTTTCTCAAAACGTGAAAAATTGGTTTCTTTTGTTAATAATGGTGATGTTTACAAGATTTTCACTAGTAAGCGGGCATTTCAGGCGCGGGGATTGAACTTTTTGGTCCGGGAATTTTGAAATTGAAAAATTTTGGTTTTTAAGTAAATAGTAGGCTTAAAAATAAGGACTTTGTTGACAAAATGAATTTTGGGGTTAAAAAAGAATTTTAGGCTTAAAAATAAGTTTTAGGCTTAAAAATGACTTTAAGGCCTAAAAATGACTCGTAGGCTTAAAAATTAATTTTAGGCTAAAAAACAAGTTTTGGACTTAAATATGAATGTTTGGATTAAAAAATTAGCTTTAGTTCTAGATTTAGCTCTTGCTTTAGCTCTAGCTCTGGCTTCAGTTCTAGCTTCAGCTCTAGCTTCAGCCCTAGCTCTTGTCTTAACTCTAGCCATAGCTCTCGCTCTAGCCCTTGCTATAATCTAGCTTTAGCCCTAGCCCTGTCTTTTGTAGATTTAAAAAAAGAGACATGTGTTTGAAATTTCAAAATTTAGGCTAAAGATCGAATTTTGTTTAAAACTTTTTTTTGAAAATTACTTTTTGTCATCATTTTTATAAAAGCTACTTTTTGTCATTATTTCTATCTAAATTACTTTTTGTCAACATTTACACCAATAGACAATTGGGTAATAAACAAGCCTAAGTATTTGGCCAAGAAATGTTAAAGCCATCGATTAAACGAGCGACGAATTGATTTATACAGCGCCACTTTGAAAACAAATCCCTCCGTTTGTCGTGAAGCTGCATGATGGATGGGCATGAAAAAGGACATGCCCGTCCTCAGCGGCACGTTATGTTGTCGTTATGAGCTCACGGTCGCAAACATTTTACTCGTCAGATCAGTGGGTGAGTAATGACCGTTGCGATAATGCATTTTTGGGTGTTTTGGAATGTTATTTTGGTATTTACTTAGCTTATGGGCAATAGGAGCGGTAGATTTGAGGGAATGGGGTAGGGGAAAGAGAGGAAGGGGGAAGGGTGGTGTTTGGTTGAATTTTTATTTTAGAGGGGAGGGAAGCCAAAGATAGAGCAAGGTAAGGTAGGATAGGACAGGTCAAGGTGGGTTAGGGTAAAAAATGGCAAGAACTTTCCTTAGGGAAAGAAAAATGGCAAGAATTTTCTTTACAAAAAGAAAAATGGCAAAAACTTTCTTTACAGAACAAAAATGCAAGAACTTTCTTTACAGAACCAAAAATGGCAAAAACGTCCTTTACAAAGCAAAAATGCAAGAACTTTCTTTACAAATCAAAAAATGGCTAGAACTTTCTTTACAAAGCAAAAAATGGCAAGAACTTCCTTTACAAAGCAAAAAATGGCTAGAACTTCCTTTACAATACTAAAATTTTTGAGTCTTTAGTGCAGTACGTCAGAAAATTCAAATTTAAGCCTAAAAATCTTTGTTTTCTTCAAAATTAATATTTTTTATCTCGGCGGACTTAAAAATTTAAAAATTTTTTTGTTTTTTCAGAAGGCGGTTTACACAAAAAATCACTTTCAATTAGGCTTAATTTCTCGAATTCGCACTTCTCCCGTCTCTAATTTTTCTTTTTATTTTGCAATTCTTGGCCTTGTGACCAACTGACGGCCGAAAAGCCGTTTTTTCCGAGATTTCCCGATTTTTATAAAGCCTTCGATATAAAGGACGATTTTCGTGTGTTAACGAGGTTGTGAAGTGTTGTTAGGGTTAATTTAGTTCGGGTGGAGGAAACGGGTTGATCAGTTTTGTATTTTTTGGTAGGGACACCTCATCATACCCTGCACTATCTACTATACCTTTCTCTAAGCTTGACTAGTCTAGTCCAGCCTAGAAAAAAAATAATTTTTTAATGGGGTATGGCTAAATAAAAATTTACTTATAAGGGGTGCATATTGATTATTTTTGTATTTTTTGGTAAAGCATGAAAAAAATCTTTCTTCTGTTATATAGGTATGGCAAAAATAATATTTAGTTTTTAGAAGTGGCAGTTATAAATGATATGAAAAAAATTGTAAAATACGTCAGATACAGCTTTTTTTCGTATCAAAGGTATCCTATTTGATGAACATTTTTTATTTTTATAAGCTAAAACAATCCAAAGATCAGCCAAAAACTATTTTCTGGAACAAAGAATGTTTTTCTTGCTAGATCTGTTGAAGTATTTGTGACATATTTTAAACTTTTTCATGTCAAAAATTTGTCTTGGAAAAAACAAGCTCAAGCTCTTGATTTTGAACTTATCACATTG